ATAGTTTTTATAGTGTACACAAAATTCTTAAATTTATGAAGTATTTCAGATATACAAGAAAATGTAATACTAATGCTAAGAATTAAAATAGCAATTATAAAACCACCCCTGTATTTTTTTCACCTGCCTTAGCAAATACAGGATTAGAGTTATATTTTTAAAATACTGTGTATACTTAGTGATATAATGCTCCTCCTACTGGTGTCCTCCTCTCTATGCTTACTTTTATTTGCAGTTTTATTAGATATATATTCCTAGACTATATTATATGTTTTGAGCTTTATATACATAATATTATTTTATATGCATTATTCAGTAACTTTTTTTGTTCGTTTTTTAATTCTCACCCAAGGATATGTTCTAATTTATTTATTATTTTTTGGAGAGAGAAATACTGAAAAGTGTATGTGCCCTGACCAGGAATTGAACCCTCAATCCTTTGGTCTGTGGGCTGACCCTGTAACCAATGAGCAACTGGCTAGGGCCACAAAAACTTTTTAATTTGATGTAGTTGCTTATTCAGTTTGATTGTTCTATAATTTAGTTGTAATTGCAGTTTCGTCCTGGGAGGAGAGGTAAGTATAACTTCCACCTACTCTACTGTCATCTTGGATCTCCAAATTATTTTTATTTATTTTTTGGTTTTGTCAGATACTCAAGTAAAGTATGAGTATATGTTACCTGAAGAAAACCTACTACTGAGTAAACTTACCAGTGTTCTTTATTCAGTTTTGGATATGTCCATAGCACAAGTTTAAATAATTTTCTTAATTTTTGATGTTACAATAATCTGTTGATTTAATTATTGTGTCATAATTTCTGTAACCAATTCACCATTGCTAGATACTGTGATAGTCTTTTTCTTGTTTGGTCTTGAATGAGATCATATATATATAGCCTTTTGTTGTTGAATACTTTCATTTGGATGAATTCTTGGAAGTAGGATTATTTGTTTTCTTGAATGTGCACTTCTTTTCCCCTTTGATACTGCCATTTTGCTTTTTAAAGCCACCAGTATAATTTAAATGTCAATCATTGATCATATGGTATACTATCAATTTATGAATTGTTAAGAAAAAAACTTTCTATTAAACTGACACAATACATTTTTACTTAGATTTTTTATTTTATACTTATATCTTTTAGGTGTAGATAAATTTTTATCGTATTTTAAATATACATTAAAAGGGGGAAAATAGCCAATTTAAATATGGTATTTCTAAAGCTCCACATTTAGTCCAATTATTCCATGTTGTATGGTTGTTTTTTTTATTCCTCATTAGAATATATATTTTTCCATTCATTTCTATAGAGAGTGGAAGGGAGGAAGGAGAGGGAGGGGGAAAGAGGGAGAAACATCCACCTGAGAGAGACACATCCGTTAGCCGCTTCCCACCAGTACTGGTGCTGGGGAACCTGTGGAATTGAACCCAAGGGCTGTTCCTCTAACCACTGTGCAACTGGCCAGGGCCTTGTATGTTAGTTTTTGACTCAAAGTTGTAGTCTATATTTTTCTACAATAAACATTAAGAATGTTGGTGATATCAAAACAAACAAAAGTAATAGTCAGATTAAAAAGTATGCTAATGACTTCAAGGAATATTTCTCCAAAGAAGATAATACAACTGGCTAAAAGGTTATTATTAGAATTACCAGGGAGCCTGTTGAAATACAGCTTCCTGGTCCTGTTGCAGAATTTGAGTAATTTACTTTTTTTTTTTTAATCCTCATCTGAGGATATTTTTCCATTGATTTTTAAAGTGACATAGAGAGAAGAGTGGGGAGGGGAGAGAGAGAGAAAGAAACTTTGATGTGAGAGAGACTCATCATTTGGTTGCCTCCGCTCTTGCCTAGACTAGGGCCAGGTACCTGCAACCAAGGTATGTGCCGTTGGCCAGGAATTGAACCAGTAATTCTTCATCTGTGGGCTGAGCAAAACCGGCCAGGGCCAGAGTTTGAGTAATTTAGAGTGAAGTGAGGTATAGGAATCTGTATTCATAACAAGTACCCCAGGTTATAACCATGCTGGGAACCTGAGGAAGGTTATGAGGGAGGTAGAGCTACAGGTTTTCTGAGAACCTCTTTGGGAAGGAATACTGGCTGTTAATACTTGGTTAGACCGCCATGGAAACTTGGTAATAAGCTGCTTTTAATGTTAGGAAGTGAGAAGGATTGTAGAGTATTGTATAGTTTTATCTTCAACAATTTGGGGGGAAAAGGGAAAATGAAGATTTTTGTTGAGGTAATTCTTTTTCATTGGTATTCTTTATTTCAAGGCTTTCTCAGTTTCTCTTAATGTCTAAATAAATAGAGATTAGGTTAACACAAGGTTTGATTAATCAGAATGTAAGCTCTATGAAGGAGATGGTGTTCTTTCTTACAATCCATAGAGGTAAAACAGTACTTAGAACATGTACGCATTCAGTAATACTACTATTTGTTGAAAGTGTGAGCATACAGAACAGTTTTTATATAACAGATACTCTTCAGGGAAGAAGAGTTTGCTTTGAATCACTTAAAATTGCTATCAGGAGCTGCTGTAATTGATTTTACATAAAATTTATATTAAAACTATGGATTTTTAATTGAGGGTCATTTATTGTTAAAATGGTGGGAATGATTACATCATTTACATTTTTTCCATATAAGTTGCATTTTAAATTTATGGTGTTGCAAATAGTGCTTTTGCATTAAAAGCATTTTAATTTTCCTTTTAGGAGTTAACGGAGCAGTTTCATCAAGTTGAGTCTCAACTGAATAAGTTAAATCATCTTCTCACTGATATTCTTGCTGATGTAAAGACAAAAAGAAAAATTTTGGCATCTAATAAACTGCATCAAATGGAAAGAGAATTATATGTATATTTTTGTAAAGATGAAGATTATCTGAAAGAGATCGTGGAGAATTTAGAAAACCAATCAAAGATTAAGGCTGCTGATCTCAAAGAATGAAAATTACTACATAATGAAGCTTTACTACATATGCTATGTTTTAATGTTTTACATATTAGGAGAATATAGCTAATAAACACTGCTAAGAATTTAAGTTTGAGGTCAATGGAACATTTAATGAATTCAGGTATTATATTGCCCTGGCTGGTTTGGCTCAGTGGGTAGAGTCTCATCCTGTGGATTGAAGGGTTTGTCACAGGTTCGATTCTGGTCAAGGGCACATGCCTGGATTGCGGGCTTGACCCCCAGTAGAGGGTGTGCAGAGGGCAGCCAATCCGTGATTCTCATCATTGATGTTTCTGTCTCCCTCTCCCTTCCTCTCTTGAAATCAATAAAAATATATTTTAAAAAAGTATATCAGTTTGTTGTTTTTCTTTCTATAACATGTTTATTCAGAGTACCAGTGCTTACTATGACTTGAACATTTGCTTAGTGCCACTTAGTCCTGGTAACTTTGTATTTATAAGGAAAACACATCACAGTAGCTGTCCCCTTATCTACAGCTTTACTTTCTGCTGTTTCAATTACCCACAGTCAACTATAGGCTGCAAATACTATGTGGGAAATTCCAGAAATAGTTCATAAGTTTTTTTATTATTTTTAAAAATATACATATTTTTTAAAATAATAAAATATGTATATTGAGAAAGAACCATTGATCAGCTACCTCCTGACTAGGAATCAAACCATGACCTCCTGGTTCATAGGTCAGTTCTTAACCACTGAGCTACGCCAGTTAGACTAGTTCATAAAATTTCATGCACACCTGCTCTGTGTAGTCTAATGTGAATCATCCTTTTATCCAGCACATCTACACTGTGCTACCTGCCTGTTAGTCATGTAACTGTCTTGGTTATTGGATCAGCTGTGCTTATGTCCAAGTCACCCTTACTTTACTTAATAGCCTCAAAGTGTAAGCGTAGTCACGCTGGCAATTCAGATGCGCCAAAGAGAAGCCATTCAGTTCTTCCCTTAAGTGAAAATGTATGTACTGTAAAGGAAAGTGTGTGTATAGGGTTCTGTCTTTTTTTTTTAAAGTAGTTTTATCTCTCCTTTACTAATCTTTTAAGAAATAGAAATATTCTGCTGTTAAATGTTTTTAAATTTTGTAGAACTTTGAATCAGCATTGTTAAAGCTGTAAGCTTAATATATGGATAGATAAGTCTATTTGACTGTAAACTAAAATTCTGCCACTCTGACGATTCCCTCATCATTTTCCACTATAGACTTGGAGTCTTAATGCTCTTACTTAGACCACAGCAAATGTCAAGTCTCCTTGGCTCATTGTTCATTTTACAGACAGGGTCCTGGGGCCTCAGAATTTCTGTAAGACATTTCAGTGCTGCTTTAATTTCAGTGTGACTTAGTACCCATGAATGACTTTCAAATGAAATTTCAAAATTTCTTAGAAGTGCTTGCTCAAAGGATGTATGATGCTTTTTAAAAACAATCCTCACCCAAGGAGCGAGGATATTTTTTCCATTGATCCTAGAGAGTGGAAGGAGGTGGGGGGAGAGGGAGAAATGATGTGACAGAGACATTGATTGGTTGCCTTCCACACACGCCACTACTGGCGGCAGGGATTGGACCTGCAACCAAGGTACATGCCCTTGACCGGAATTGAACCTGGAACCTTTGAGTCTGCAGGCTGACGCTCTATCCGCTGAGCCGAACCAGTTTCAGCTTAGTTTCTTTGGTGTGAAAAAAATGTTGGACTGTAATAGTCTGGATAACAAGTGTATTTGAACAAATAGAAGCTAATTTTAAGAGTTGGTATGAAATAATTTGAAGTAGCTTATCAGTTATTACATCAAATGCTGCTTTTTAAAAAATATATTTTATTGATTCTATACAGAGAGGAAGGGAGAGAGATAGAGAGTTAGAAACATCGATGAGAGAGAGTCATCGATCAGCTGCCTCCTGCACACACCCCCACTGGGGATATGCCCGCAACCAAGGTACATGCCCTTGACCGGAATCGAACCTGGGACCTTTCAGTCCCCAAGCTGACGCTCTATCCATTGAGCCAAACCGGTCCCGGCCAAATGCTGCTTTAATGCCTGATTTATACATGGCCTCTTTTATATGCCATGTAAGTTTTATAGAAAGATACAGGTATTACTTTCAAGAATGACCTGCCCTTGATATCTAAAAACCTAGAATGTGATCTTTATGGAATTTTTCAACCATAACTATCAGAAAATGGGTATGCATAGGTGACAGATGAACCCTGTTAATTTTTGTAATGCATTGAACAAAAATGTTCTGCCAATTACTGCATTTGTACATTATTTAAAATTTATGAAGTAAATCTTAAATGTGCTTTAAAAACATTCCTTACCCCCCCCCCCCCCCCGATTCTACTTTGGACTAGATAATGAAAAATTTTCTGCAGCAATGTGGAAAAATATGTCTCCTGTTTCCTGGTTAATGAAATAAATTCTGTTTAGATTAGTGCCAAATATGTTAGATGACCAACCAGCTATTTGGTGATTGGTGCTGTGGCTTCCAGACCTTCATGATCTCAGCCCAAAGGGCCCAGTATATATAGCTGAGCAGATCGAGAGAAAGGATGTCAGGTGGTTTGTCAAAATCATGCCATTCAGTTAGAAATAATGGTCTTGTATATGTGAAGATTGTAATAACAAACTAGGAAGTGTTTGAGTCAGTTGCTTTACAATTGGTTAACTAGAAAATATGTTCTTTGTTACTTATATATCATAATACCCCCAAAGGAGCCTCTAACCATTGCTTTATTCTTACGATCCTATGTGTAAAAGGGAAAATTGATACCTATTTATTGTGGTTTTTAATATAAAATTTTTTATGAAAGTCTCAGTACATTTCAGATTTCTTGTTTCTTATTTTGAAGGCTCAAAATTAATATATAGGTGTTTTGTTTATCTTATGTTTAGGAATTTATGAAAATGGAAAATTATGAGGCATTTGTAGGCTTTGATCTCTGTCAGATACCACTTTCCAGTGTTGCTCAGAAGATTATGTCTGCTATGCACTCAGGTGATTTAGCGGAGTCTAAGAATTGGAGAGAGAGTGAAAAGAGTGAGTAATCTTTATGAACCTTTCTGTCTTGTTATTTTGGTGTTATTAATTTTTAAGACTAAGAGTTTGAAAATGAAATGTAGCAAAATTATTCTAGAGAACTGAAATTGGGTGGGGAAGCTCCCGCCTGCAAACAAGTGAAGTCCAGCTTTCCCTCCCTTTACTCGCATTCAGTGAGGACTGAGCCCTTGTTTTTAAATGGAACACTTCCTTGCCCCGGGCATAGTGTCAGACATTCCCTTAGAATCCCATGGCTGTTTAACTTCAAAAGACTTGGCTCCTCCACAGTGTCTATGCTTCCACCTTAGCGCGGGTCATTGAGCCTGTGCACAGTACAATCAGCCCTCCATAGCCTCTGATTTCAAATCTGCAGGTTCAGCCACCTGCAGATAGAAATATTAGCAAAAAACAAAGTCCCAGAAAATTCCAGAAAGCAGCAAAACTTGAGTTTGACATGCACCCAGCACTATGTTGAGTCCACCCAAATGAAGTGATGTGTAGGCATACCCTGCTGTGGTCTCTGCCAGTAGAGATTATATGTAAATGCTGTGCCATTTTATGTAAGAGATTTGAGCATCCACGAATTTTGGTAGCCCTGGGAGTCCTGGAGCCCATCCTCTAATGATACTGGATGACTGTATTTACTTACTGTGTGTGGTGGACAAGAGAAGTGGTATTGTTTTTTGTTTGTTTGTTTGTTTCTTTTGTGAATCCTCACCTGAGGATATTTTTTCCTTTGATTTATTTTTTTAAGAGAGGGAGGAAAAGAGGGAGAGAGAGAGAAACATTGATTGCCATCTGCATGTTTCCTGATGCGGACTGGATCGAACCTGCAACCCACGTATGTGTCCTTGACCAGGAATCAAATCCGAGACCCTCGGTCTGCAGGCTAATGCTTTAACTACTGAACCAAACAGGCCAGGGCAAGAAGTGTTTTTGATGATATATATATTGTACTGACAGAAGTGTGTAAACTCTTAGGGGGCAAAGGTTGGTGAATCTGTATATATGTGTGTGTGTGTGTGTGTGTGTGTGTGTGTGTGTGTTCATGATGTGGGATAATAGTGAAAGCTGTGACTGAAATGTTTGGAACACTTTTTTCACTAGCAAAGTAGTTTGTATTTTAAATTTGTAAGTCTGGGCCAATAGGTTGTTTGTTTCTTTCCTTCTGAGTAAGTTATGAGTGAGATATAACCGAGTAAATGAGATGAAATAGTTGAGTATTGACAAACATTGCAAACACTGTTATAAATGCAGTTTCTTAATTAAGATATAATATAACATTTTATTCCATTTATGTTCAGACATCTGTTGCTTGTGTGTCTTATAAAAGTCACTAGTAAAGTCACTTATAAGGATTTTTGGGTGTGGACTATACCTAGTGTTTTAGGGGTAATGATGCTGGTGGTGGGAGTAGTAAAAAAAAAAGGCAATCACTGAAGAGCTTTCTCCTTTCTTCGGTATATGGGTCTAGTAATAATTAATGTCGTTTTTAAACATTCGTTTAAAATCTTGCTTGGCGTTGACTTGTATTGACATAACCTTCAAACACGTGGTATCTACAGAACGTGTGAAGTGCAATTAACAAGTTTTGCTTGAAAAAGTTTGTGTTTGGTTTGGTTTTTGTTGCAAAACTAGGGCTAAGAAGATGGCGGATGAAGAGCATATTCGGCACTGCATGCTTTACGAGTTCCAATTAGGAAGAAAAGCAAGTGAGGCTGCAAAAAACATCTGTAGTGCTCTTGGTCAAGATGCAGTTAGCGCCAGAAAATGCCAGCGTTGGTTTGAGAAATTTCGCGAGGGAAATTTTTCGTTAGATGACAAGAGTGGTCGAGGCCGTGTGTCTAATTTTGATCAAGAAGCTCTTCAAGCTCTTTTGGTGCAAAATCCTCAAATTACCCAACAAGAGCTTGCGACAACTTTAAATTGTTCACAAAAAACAATTTCCAATCAATTGCGTGCACTTGGCAAAGTCCAAAAGTTTGGAAAATGGGTTCCTCATGAGTTGACCGACAACAACCGTAATCAAAGAGTCACAATTTGCAGTTCGCTCCTCTCTCGTCAAAACCGTTTGCTGTTTTTAGAGCAAATTGTCACCGGAGATGAAGAATGGGTGCTGTATGTTAATTTGAAAAGGCGGCGTCAATGGTTGGACAAAAATGAGGCTCCGCAGCCCACGCCAAAACCTGACTTGCATGCGAAAAAAGTGATGTTGTGTGTTTGGTGGAATTTTAAAGGAATTCTTCATTATGAACTTTTACCATGTAACCAAACCATTACAAGTGCAGTGTATAGTGCCCAATTGGAAAGGTTAGCCCAAGCTTTAAGAGAAAAAGAACCTGCGCTGATTAATCGGAAGGGCGTAATTCTTCACCACGATAACACCGCATACTGCAAGAATCACTGCTGAAAAACTGCGCCAGTTGGAATGGGAAGTTCTCCTTTAACCTGCATATTCTCCTGATATTGCCCCTTCCGATTACCATTTGTTTCGTTCTTTGCAAAACTTTCTTCTTGGAAAAAAATTTAATAATGAAGAATGCCTCAAAAATGCATTGACCGAATTTTTTGCATAAAAATCACAAGAATTTGAGGATCCAAGATGGCTGCGCCCAGGTGAACACCTAGCCGCAGCCGCACACAACAATTTCAATAAAATACAACTAAAATATAAAACGGACATTGCCCAGAACTACAGGAAGGTTGACTGACTGGAAATTCTACAGCGAGAAGCAAGGAGAAAACCAGAAGGAGGCGCGGAGGAGCTGGAAAAGCCAAGGTACAGAGACGCGGCGCCCGGAGAGGACGGAGCCGGAGAGGAGGGAGGCCGAGTGCCTGGCGGGCGTTCCTGAGCGGAAAGGAGAGAAAAGCTCCGACTGTGCTGGGCCCCCAACTGCTCTGAACCCCGGTTCTGGGCCAGACCCCGGGGACTCAGGCTCAGCCATAGGGAGCCGGGCTGTAAGGCGGAACCCCGGGGAGAGGCGAAAGGAGGTCCCGGAGGCGCGCACATTGCGCGCAGAGAAGGGACGGTCGGCTGTGCCGCGGGATTGCCCTGACGGGAAGGAGACTGGGGCTCCAGACTGCTCTGAACGCCACCTCCAACTCCATTTCCAACTGAACTGAACCCCAATACCGGGCTCATTGTGGGAGAGCATAGACTGTTTGGCAGCAGGCGAAAATCGAGGGCACCTTTCTCTCAGAGGCGCTGGCAGCAGCGAGCACTGAAGGACCCGCATAGGGCGGGGCTGACAGAAGCCAAAGCTGCAGGCTCCACCCTGAAACCCCGTCCCATCTGTAACTGCGAAATGCGACAACAAAATAGATCACAAACGAAAGAAATGGAGGACAAAAAGCGTCTGGATATAGAGTTCAAATCTACGCTTATAAGTTTTTTCAAGAATTTCTTAGAAAAGATGGATAAGGGCTACGAGGATATGAAAAGAGATCAACTAGAATTAATAAGGAGTCAACAAGAAATGATAAGGGATCAACAAGAAATAAAGAATACATTGTCTGAAATAAAAAATATTTTACTGAGTCCTAAAAACAGAAGGGAAGATCGCAAGAATCAAGTCAAAGATTTGGAACATAAAGAGCCAGAAGACACTCCTCCACAGAAGCTAGAAGGCAAGAGAATCCAGAAAATTGAAGATAATGTAAGAAACCTCTGGGACAACTTCAAGCGAACCAACATCAGAATTATGGGGGTCCCAGAAGATGAGAGAGAGCAAGATATGGAAAACATACTGAAAGAAATAGTGACAGAAAACTTCCCCTACCTGGTGAAAGAATTAGACTTACAAGTCCAGGAAGCGCACAGAACTCCAAACAAAAGGAATCCAAAGAGGACCACACCGAGACACATCATTATTAAAATTCCAAGAGCAAAAGACAAAGAGAGAATATTAAAAGAAGCAAGAGCAAAGAAGGTAGTTACCTATAAAGGAGCACCTATACAATTGTCAGCTGACTTCTCAACAGAAACCATGCAGGCCAGAAGGGAATGGCAAGAAATATTCAAGGTGATGAATAGCAAGAACCTACAGCCAAAAATAATCTACCCAGCAAAGCTATCACTCAGAATCGAAGGCCAGATAAAGAGCTTCACTAATAAAAAAAAGCTAAAGGAGTTCATCAACACCAAACCAGAATTATATGAATTGCTGAAGGGGGTTCTTTCAGAAGAGAAAGTAAACAAAGATAAAAATTATGAACAACAAATACATAACTATCAACAAGTGAATCTAAAAACCAAGGAAATTAAAAAAATCTGATGAACAATATTAACTGTTGAATATAATAGAATCAGAGGTATGGAAGGGGAGTGAACTGACGATTCTTGGGGAAAAGGGGAGAGGGGGGCGTGGGAAGAGACTGAACATAAACTGCACCTATGGATGAGGACAATGGGGAGAGGGGAAAGGGCAGAGGGTGGGATGGGAACCTGGTGGAGGAGAGCAATGGTGGGTGGGGGGAAAGGAACATTTGTAATAATATGAACAATAAAAACTTATTTAAAAAAAAAAAAAAAATCACAAGAATTTTACAACAGAGGGATTAAAATGCTTCCCGAGCGTTGGGCACAAGTAGTAGAAAACAACGGCAACTATATTGTTGATTAAATTTTGTTGTATTGTTTAAATAAATTTGATTTAAAAAAGTATTAGAAAACGACATTAACTATTACTAGACCTAATATATTTGCTTTCTAAAAGGCAGTGTGCACTTGACAGGTGGAACTGTACCTCCCTTCAATAACTGGTAATGAAATGCCTCTGGTAGGTAATTACAATGTGAGTCTCTTGAGGAAAATTTCTGCTAGTCACCCATCTCACAAATGCTCTTGTCATAGTCTTAAAATAAATCTCTAGTTTTTATAAATTTATTGAGAAGACAGATAATAGAAAAATAAGTTTTTATTTTTGTCAGGTTTCATAAGGATTGTTATCTGTTGTCGCATAACACCATTGCTGCTAACTTAGTGACTTAAAACAACACAT